TAAAAAAAAAAAAAAAAAAGGCAGCAACTTCCTGAACAATTTGATATTTAAATGTCATTCTGCAGTTACTTTTAACATATTATTTATACCCCTCTGTAACCAAAGGATACTGAGAAAATACTTTTACCATATATCAGAGAGTAAATTATCCTAACTTAAAAGTCTTATAAATTGGTAAGAAAAAACACAAGAACATATAGGCAGGCATAAAATAAGAAATACCAAAGACCGATGAGAGAAAAAAGGTTTACCTTCATTAATAATCAAAGAAATGCACATTCAACAAAAAGATACCATTTTTCACCTATCAAAATGACCAAGATTTCTGAAAGTCGTAATACCCTGCGTTGGCAATGATGCAGGAAAATAGGCATTCTTGTTTGAAGCTAGAGGAAATTGGTACAGCCTTTCAGGTGAGCAATTTGCAGTATGTTTCGAAAGCTTTAGAATTTCTCAAACCCTTTGAGACAGCAATTCCATGTCTAGGAACTTACCTAAGGGAATAATCATGTGAGCAGAGATGATACCATTTTCAGTTGTTAAAACAAAAAAATGGAAACATTCTAAACATATAATAGGAGGGCAGTTAAATTATGTTATGTCAAGACAAGGGAATACTATGAAGCCATTTAGTATAACGACGTAGAGTTTTTACTGATAGAAATGTCCCTACAAATATTAATAGTAGACAAAACCACAGACGCTACACAGCTGTAAAAACTGAGGAAGTCCTTTATGTTGTGATTTGGCACGGCATTCAGGAAAAATAGATGAAAAAAGTAAGGCACTGAAGTATGTGTAAAAGGGGTGAGAACACTTACAGGCATCTGCTTGTGTATGCAGACAACATCTCTGCAAGGACACATAAGAAATTAACAAGACTGAATGCCTCTGGGAAGAGGAATTGGGTGGTTGGTGGCATCGAAACACTCCCCTGGCTACTTCTTTTATTCTTTAGTTGAACCAATTCAAAATAAAATTTCTGAGTTAAAAAATTCAAGTCTCAAAACTACATATGGTATAGTCCCAATTGTGGGGGGAGGTGTTTGAGAGGAGAGACAAGCAGACAGGTGGAGAGCAACAGAGAGGCGAGCAGGCAGGTGAGCAGGGGGTGCGTGACGGGAAGAGCAAGGCAGAAGCGAGGGGAGGGGGAGAGAGTCCAAAGCAGACGGACTAACTGGTAGATCTCTGCGTGGTGGGATGAGGACAAATTCATTTTCTTTGGCGATTTCCCCAATGAACAAAGTGCTAATTTTGCAATACGAAAAGAATTTATTTACCAAAAAACTACTTCCACATCAAATTCTTATGCTATCGCGGTTTCCACGTATGGACTCACCATGTGGACTAGCAAAACTGGCCCCTGGTCCTATTGAGATTCCATGCGAGGATGGGGGAGGAGTTGGAACAAATGACGCTGGTGAAGGGGCCCTCAGAGCCCCACTGGGGGAGCTGGCAGCATGCAGATTTCCTAATAAAGGAAAATAATTACAGATGATCTTGCAGGACACATAGCATGTCCTGGCCAAGGACCTCAAGTTAAGACTCTCTCTATGGATTAAAGAAATAAGTAGTAAAGCTCCCTTAAATAGCACAGAGAAAATCTGAAATGATTTTGTTACTGAAAAAGAGAGAGGGATCGATTCCATGGGGCCCAAATTCTAGCTCTTATATTGACCTGAGTTTAAAAAAAAAAAAAAAAATCCAGTGTACTTTTGTGTTCGCTCATTCACTCTTTCAGCAAGTGGGCATGAATGTTAATTTCATGCCAAGCATTGCTGTAGGCACTGGGGATGCAGCAGTTGACAGACAAAAATTCCTGCCCTTGTGGAGTTTCTATTCTAGTAGAATGAGAAAGACAACAAATGTATGTCAGGTAGTGATAAGTGCTATGGAGAAAACCAGGGCAAGGAAAGGGGGCAATATCATGTAATGGCAGAGGTAGGTGCTGTTCTTTCTATAAAGCAACCCCAGAAGACCACTCTAAGAAGGGGGCATGTGGGTAAGTGAAGCGTAAGGCGTGAAGATACCCAGGGGGTAAGAGATTCCAGGCCAAAAGAAGAGCTAATGCAAAGGCCCCAAAGGCAGCAGCAAAAACAACAGGGAGGGGGCCAGTGTGGCTGGATCAGTGGGAGCCACGGGGAAGTGGGAGGAGCTGAGGACAGAGAGGTGGTGGTGGGGGTCCTAGATCACACGGGGACTCGTAGGCCACTCTAAGGACTTAGGGTTTACCCTGAATGAGATGGGAAACCACTGCCAAGTTTGGAGTGAAGGAGTCATAAACTAGCTTCTGTTCTGAAAGGATCACCCTAACCATTGTGTAAAAAACAGACTACAGGGCAAGGGCAGGGAAACCAGTTAGAGGCAACAGTAATAATCCAAGTGAGAGATGGTTAATGGCTTGGGTGAGGGTGGAGGCTGAGGAGGGTTAGAGTCTGGATAAATTCTCAGTACAGAGGGAACAGTATCTGGGACTGACTGAAGTGGGTGTGAGAGAAAGAGGAGTCCAGCATGACTCCAACAGCTCTGGCCAAGCAGCAGGCAGGAAGGGGCTGCCGTTTCCGGAGTTTGGGGGGCAGGGGGCGGGGGCGGGGGTGGGCGGGCAGGTGTTAGGAGTTGAGGCTCAGCCATTGTCTACCCATCTAACAAGGGCATGCTGACCAGACAGCTGGAAAACACAGGACTTAGGTTCAGGGGAGAGGTCTAGATGGCAGATATTAAAAAACTGAGAGCAGTGAGCTTAAAGATGGGATTTAGCCACAGGACTAGTTTCAATTGAGGATCAGGAAAGAGGGAACCATGCTCCCCAAACTATGAATAAATGCGACACAGAGACACTTGCTACATTACCATCACTATCCTCAGTTTTCACATGTTTCAATTTCTCTACTACTAAGAGAATTTCATATTTCCTACATTCTATACCTAATGCAGTGCCTTACGTGCAGTATGTTCACCAACTCGATTAACCTTTAAGTGTCATGTTTAGATATTCAGCTGTGGGTTTGCTGTGGGGATTAAATGGATAAAGTGCTCAGAACACGGCTTGGCACACAGCAAGCACTATATACCTGTCTGCTACTATAATCATTTCAAAATAATTATTTCTACTTCCTTCTACATAAGACCTCACTCATATCCTAGAAACACATGCCCCTTGCGTTCTCTGCCCACATCTCCCGTTTTGCTCCTTGCTCCCTAAGCAGCTCCTTCTCAGGCTCCTACACTGGGAAGCAGCTGCCGGTACTCCGCAGGGGCAGAGCTCACCCACCCAGCTCAGCCTTCAATGACCTTCAGTGACATGACAATGACTTCCAAATCTTCATCTGTGGTTCCACCATCTCTGCTGAGCAGGTAAGGGGTCATCTACCCAAGAAATCTGATACCCGTCTTCCTTGCTAGACGATATGCTTGAGAGCAGGACTGGTATGTGGCTTGTTGCTGTATCCCCAGCGCCATGGAGCATCTGGCCCAGGGCAAGAACTCAAGCGATACCAGCAAATTGTTCAGTTAAAAGTAAAAATTAGGCATCCTCAAGCAATTTTATAGTGCACTCCATGGGGCTGCCAACAGAGTCATTTTGTTTGGATAAGCAGGCTCTGCACTGGCCCACTCTGCGGGGCACAGCACCTTTCATATATACCAGGGCTTAGCAAACTTGTTCTGTAAGGGGTCGTCCTAGCAGGAGAGCAGCCCCTGACACTGCATGAATGGGTGTAGCTGCGTTCCCCCAAAACTACAAAAACAGGTGATGGGCAGGATCGTGTTGTGATCAGCTCTCCTTGGAGCTGTGCCACGAGCCTGGCTCTGGGTGACAAAACCTCCACTTAATTCAAACCTTTCAACATGTTCCCGAGTCACGAACGCACCTTTCACAACCCTGCCATAAGGAACGAATGGCAGATACCTAGCCACAGATAAGGGAGTGGTCTCTGAAGGTCTAGGCTACATGTGTGGTGCTTGGGTGTGTCCGTGTATGTTCTGGATGTCAGAGTTGAACACAACAAAAGAGTAAGTAATATCTTACCTGGAGACTGTGTGTGCATCATAGAGGGAGACTGATTAACTGTGCTGTGGTAAGACGTAGGGGGTGAAGTAAGGGGATAAGCACCTGATGATCCCGGCTGTTTGGGAAATGGCTGAAAAGAAAAAAAGTACATGTTGGTCAAACGGGCCATGTGCGTATAGTATATAGTACATACGGCTGAAGAGTTAACCTTTACACAGTTCACTGGTTACCAAGAGGAAACACAAGATGTGAAAATGTGCAAAATACACATCAGTAACACAAGTTCTTAAAAACTCCCCGACTTTCAAAATGTTTAAAAAACAGCAAGAACTCACTCCTGACCTTGTAATACCATTGCTTTTATCCCTCAAGATGTTTTTTGCTTATTTTATCTACCATATCACTGATTTATCTGTATCGTTTCTCTCCCATTTCCCGGATTCTAAGAGTCTCTCCCCACCCCTTTAGTATTTCTGAAGTCAGGTGTATCTTTTGATTCCTGGTATGGCACAGTTTAACTGGCAATTCATAAAAAGTAGTGCATCTTACACTTGGTGGAGTTTTTAAAGGCAATGAAATACGGTTGTTTAACCTGACCTCTCCTCACCTTTACCTTCATCTCCAGCAATGAAAAACCTAGGACAATGAAATCCTTCCTAGTTTTTCATTTGAGGTACAAATCACATATAGTATAAGGACACAAATCTTAGAAAATGTCCAGTCTGATGAATTTTCACAAATGTCACCGCCACAGAGATCGAGACCCTGAAGACCACCACCAGTGCCCCGGAGGCCTCCCTCAGCCACCTTCCAAGGCTTTATCACTTCCCCAAAGGTAAGCACTATTCTGACCTCTGTCACTCAAGCTTGATTTTGCCAGTTTTCACATTTCATATAAATACTGAATGTACTTCTGAGTGTCTGGCTTCTTTTGTTCAACATTACGTCAGCGAGATTCACCATGTAGTAGTTTGTTTTTTCATTTCTATAAAGTATTCTATTGTATACTGAATAGACCCAGTTTATTCACTCATTCTGTTGCTTGATACTTGGGTTAGTTTACACTTTTTACATAAATAACGTTCCTGTGAACATTCTTGTGTTTTTTGGATGCATTTCTGTTGTACATATACCTAAGAGTAGAATTATTAAATCACAGGTATGCCTAATGTTCAGATTTAGTGCTCTGGAATACTGCTAAACACCACTGCACGGTTGTTATACCATTTTATGCACCCTCCAGTAGTAAATGAGTTTCAGTTGCTGCTAATACCAAATGTTGCCAAGAATGATCAATTTTCTTCTTAAAACCGTTTTTGTGGGTTTTGAGTATTATCTCACTGTGGTTTTAAGTTGTATTTCTGTGATGCCAAATGACGTTGAACACCCTTTCTGTGCTTACCAGCCGTTTGGATATCATACTCTTTCATGATCGCATGGCTAATCACCTCACGTCATTTTAAATGCACGAGTCTGAGGTTAATGCTACTTCTGGTACTGTTCACTTGCCATCACTAGAAGCCACCTTCTCTCCCTCTGTCACTATTTTTTCATATGGACTTCTCGGACACCTTGGGCCCACCAAGGACCTCCCTGCCTTTCAATAAAGATGCTCAGACACCTGAAGAACCCATTAAGTGACGCGAATGCGATACCATTTGGAATTTCAGCTAGACATCACCTGTTGCTGGGGTGGTGGCTGGAGCTGTGAGATTAAAGAATCCATCATATCTCCTCCTATGGGAGAAGGGGGATTATCATCCTCGTTTACAGACCTTCTTCGAGCATCCTGATTGCTGTCAACAAACATATTCAGGAATGTCTATGGATATAAACAGGTAGAATTCAGATTATTTTACTTAACTTTACTAAGGTATTTTTAATCATTTAGACTATTTTAAGAGAAACAAATATACTACACCCATCTCTAAAATAGAAGTTTGGTATACAGCCACTATTATGAGGACAACCTGGAAGATATATTGATAATTTTGAAGGGGGGAAACTGAGGAAACTGGTTAACTGCAACAACAGAAACAAAATCTAAGTTAAAAATCCTGTCCATTAAGAAGTATTGTGCAAGTACAAAGTTGAAGAGAGAAGTACACCCTGGTACCTCCTCACACCAGGTCAAAGTATTTCCTTACTAATTTCTGAACCAGAAATGCAGGAAACAAAAGAAAAGTTGTATGTTGGCCATCTAAGCAATTCCAGTGACTTGGGAAATTTCCTATTGGGTGAGAGTCGTCATTTTGTAAGCTAGAAAATACGACAGAGGAAAACTGAATGCAGAAACTAAGCCATCTTTCCTCTGTTTATCTTACGTGACTGAAATCTTGAACCACCAAGAGTGGGACAATCTCATTTTATGGGATAGGTCATCAAAAGTTAAGCAAGGCTACCAGAGTTTGTGTCTCAAGCATTCTCTTCCTTTTAATACTCTCCACCTTCCCCATCCTCAAAAACATAGATCAAAAGCTTACCAGGATCGCTAGAAAGCTTTTAAAAGTACATTGCCTGATTTCTAATAAAAGATGATGGATTCACAACACACATTTTATCTTTCCCCAATACCCCACTGAAACTCCTAAAAAAATTTTCTTAAAGCAATAAGTTACAAATACAGAAAGAATGGGAGAAGAAAAAAATAGCAATGAATTCTGGAGGCTGCAGAGCAGATGGCTGAGTGGTAAGTGAACTATCCAATGTGAGGAAGTTGTATCCTAAAGCTAGCACTGGGGAAAGCCAAGAAGCAAAGCTATTTCCGTCCAGATCCTCAAGACATGTAGGAACTGGCAGCACTAGACACCTCTGGAAGTGGGGATGAAAGTGGGATTAAAAATAGGACTGGTCGAAAGTCTCTTTAAGAGACACTGAAAGCCTCCCAGAGCCTCTGTCACTCTCACTGAGTGAGGTTGACTTCTACCACTCTGGTGGAGGGTCTTTGACTAGGGGGACTCTAGCGTCGATCGAGAGGAATGCCGTATTAAAAATGAAGATTATGGGGCACCTGGCTGGTTCAGTCAGAAGAGCATGCGACTCTTGATCTCGGGGTTGTGAGCTCGAGCCCCACGTTGGGTGTAGAGATTACTTTAAAAAAAAAAAAAAAAAAGAAGAAGAAGATTAAAGTTTATATACTGAATGCTGAAAATAGTAGTTTCCTTCTCTTATTTGATCTGCCAAAAATTGGGGGCCAGATGCACACCATCTATGCAGAGACTTGAATATTCCTCTCTTGGTACTCGTACCAGCCCAACAAAAAGACCTAAATCTACTGACACTGGGAGTTACCCTAAGAAATGGCCCAAGCAGATCACCCTGCAATGAAGACCACAGTCAGTAAGTCTCACCTTCTAGTAAGAGCTGAGAGTTAAAAATCACTAACATGAAAGAGATCAAAACAAAAAAAAAAAGCAAGGTGCATGAAATGGAGATTATGTAGGAAGAAAAGGGGTAAGAGAAGATAAGATAGCCATATACAACAAAGATGTCATAAAATGAACACTTAGAAACAAAAGAGAGCTCCTGGAAATTTTTTTAAAGATGGCAAAAAAATTATCAAAAATACAAAGACTGAAAGGAAAAAAATGAGGAAATCTCCCAGAAACAAAGAGATAAAAACAGAAAAGATAAGAAAATCAGAAGATAAGTCCAGGATACCAAGCCTCAGAATAGGAGTGGTAACCAGAAAGAGCTAACAGAGAAAACAAAGAAGAATCAAGAAATAATACAAGGAAATTCCCAGAGCCAAAGGATGTAAGTTTCCAGGGTGAAAGAACCTACTTAGTTACATAAGGTTCAAGAACTAGAACGAGATTGAACAACTCAACAGTCACAATAGACGTTAGAAGACAATGGAGCAATGTCTTCAAAATTCTTACAGAAAATGACTGTAATCTTGAATTCTACACCTAGCCATTCTCTCACTCAATTAGATGAGGGTAAACTAAAGATGTTTTTAGGCGCACAAAGTCTCAAAATAATCTCCCACATACCTTCTCCCAGGAAACTACGTAGAGGTATTCTACCAAAACAATGGAGTAAACCAAGAAAAAGACCTGCAGTCCACGCCACAGGGCATGCCACATGAGAGAGAAGCCAAGGACTCTCCCTCTTCCCCATCCTTCTACAGATTCCTAAATCAACACTGTGTAAAGGGCATGGGGCACTGCCATTCCAGATTGGAGGTCAGACGGTTGTAGAAGAGATTTCTTCAAGATGAAACCAATGAGGTTTCTGATATGTGAACGCACAGAGGGGAGAGTTTATATACAGGGGAGAGATTTTAAGGTTGAGTTAGTGGTTAAGTATACAAAAAGGTAAGCAAAAAAAGTAAATTAATAACTCCCAGAAAAATAAAATGTTGAACAAGAAAGGAAAAGTAATTATAGTAAGCTTGGTGTATAGTGTTTACATATTTATAATATTGAGAATACCGAAAAATTATCTGATCAAAATTGCTGCCTGACCATACTGCACGGATAGAAGGAAAGAAAAAAGGTATACTGGGAGCAGCCTGGGAGGATGAAGAGGCATACAGGAATTAAAACAGAATTCAACCCTCATCTTCCATTGTGAGGATCAGATAATGCCCTCAACTAAGAAGTCCATAAACAGCAATGTAAGCATGTTATTTAGAGATAAGGATGTAAATACCAAGAGAATCACCACCTAAGAGTTGAAAACAGAGCAGGAAAAGGGCAAGACTGGGTTGCAAGCAACTAATTTTCAAAACAAGCCTTGGAACTATTTGACTTTAAACTATAAGCACATACAATTGAACTATTATACAAGAATCTGCAGGGATTGTGGCCCAGGACCCTACATTTTAAAAAAACTTCATGGTTGAACTGATGAATCAAACTTTCTCAATAATCGAGGAGAAAGACATTGTTGAAGTTCCTTAAAGTTCCAACTAGCAAACAGGACTCTCTTCGGTATCATTCACCATATGCATTACAAGGAAAGGAGATTTTATCATCTCATACATGTAGGCACAGCGCTTTATAAGAAATTCCTGTTCCTTTGGAAGGACGCTGCAGAGGTGATAAACTAACACAGCTGCTTATTAAACAGGAATTTGTTGCTTTTCCCCATTATTTCCCCCTTTTAAAGGAATTGTTTTAGAGACATTTATGTTTATTTATGCTAGAATACTAAAGTTGGTTACCTTTAGTCCGGGTGCAGGATAAAAACCTTCCACTAACTTGCTATTATCAAAAAGACTATAGGCACCATCCCGGATCGCCACCACGCCTCGGCTCCGGCAGTAAATGTCGATGCAGTACATGTTCCTAAAGGCCAGTCTGATGTGGGTGGACGACTGTGGCAGGATGGAGAAGCACTGGTAAGCAGTGTTGGTTCTCTGGGTCAAGCCCAACATCGGCACAGTGGGGAGTTTGTTGATGGCATTTAACGGAGCCTGAGTATCAAAGAGTACCTAAAAGGAACACACACAGTGAGAGCCAGCCGGTTTCCGTACAAATGCTGAAGTCTCAGAATCTTCCATGTCTAACAGTCATAAATGAGCCAAGGTCTTCCTGGCATATTCCATGTACCTTTCCCTTGAAGAGAATGCAAACTACATCACTGCATCCACTTTGAATCAAAAAAATTCTCCAAGGGGCGCCTGGGTGGCTCAGTTGGTTAAGCGACTGCCTTCGGCTCAGATCATGATCCTGGAGTCCCGGGATCGAGTCCCGCATCGGACTCCCTGCTCGGCGGGGAGTCTGCTTCTCCCTCTGATCCTCCCCCTCTCATGCTCTCTGTCTCCCATTCTGTCTCTCAGATAAATAAATTAAAAATCTTAAAAAAAAAAAAAAATTCTCCAAGAAGAGTACGAGACATAAAAGACAGAACATGCACCCTTGTCACTGAAGACAAGTTAAGCCCACATCATTTTTAGTTTTACATGAGCCACGGAGTCATATTTTTACACAGAAAATAAACTTAATTACCTGTAATAACTGAACCACATTTGGTGTTTTGTTGAACATTTCCTGAAGCTGATGGAGAATGGTATTGTGACAGTTACTGCAACCTGAGTTTGGGCCAACAGTGCCCAAAGAAATGTGAAATTTTTGATGTATGGAATTCCACTGGATGCTAATCTAAATCAAAGAGATTACATGTTTCAGAAACTGAGAAAGTAACAGATTCAAGTAGAAGAAAAAACAATGTTTAACCAGTAAGGCAAAATGCCAAAGATCAACATGAGGTCTTTTGGGAAAGCCAGTCAGAAGACTGGACTCTATAAAACTCCAGAAGTGCCGTTCCTATGGACCGGTACATTCGCGAAGTAGGTGTGTATTAGTCCACTTCCACCAAATAAAACAGAAAGAGAAGGTGCTAAAGAAAAAATCTGGATTAAACTTTATTTGAAAATGATCATTGGTGTTTCTTATTTTTCATTTTTATCTAGGACTGAAGAAAAGTCACCCTCTACATGAGCACTGACATAAAGGGAAAGGAAGCCACTTCTAACACAGATGCTTTCAGTTTATAGATTTTAAACACTCAATTTCTGATATTACTTGACGTGGAAGAGTCCAGAAAGAAGCCAGCTGGCTGAATTTTTATACTAAATTTCTAGGACTTTACATATGGAGTGGGAAGAAAATGAGGAAACAGAGATTACGGGGAATGCCTTCAAGACTGGGACAGGATCAAACAACATTAATAATCACATGACCAAAAGCATAAACGTACAGTATTGTTCAAAACCATTCATAATCTTCATTATAGTAATCATGTTGCTAACCAGATTTGAAATCTGTAAAGAAAAAAAAATACAAACACCAAAAGTACATTACCTGGTCCAAAACTCATCAAGATTATATATCCCATCAAAGAGGGCATAATTTTCGCTTTCAATTTTAAAGAGTTAAGCATTCTAGTATACTAGTCTACTATATATCATCAAAGTATTTAAAATTTACCATTTTAACCCTAATTTTTACTTGAGTCCTCAATTAGTTCAAGGCAGTTTGCATAACTTCTGAATTCTTCATTTTTAAAGGCTTTATGAGAGGAATTTCAGTTTTAATTAGTTCATAGACTTACTGAGCTTCCCTTGGTGGTTCCATAACACAAAATAAGTTTTCGGTAATTATAAACACGGACTTCTGAGAAAATATTTAGATGAGCAGGTATGTCTAAAGAGAAAGGAAGCAAAAAGGAGATTCAGATGATACATGCAAAACTTTAAAACACATATTTGGAGAAGAGGGCATCTGGGCAGTATCACATGCCTAGCTGGAAAGATCTCTAGATACATGATTTTGTTAAAAAAATTAAAAATAAAAAAAGGAAAGCGATGGCATAGACAGTGGGCTTCCATGCCCATTTCCACAGAAGGGGTCCAGGGCACGGGCAGAGCACTGAAGTGGTACAGCACAGCAGTGGGGCGGTTCCAATTCCAGCTCTACCCTTTACTAGCTGTGCGACCTTCCGCAAGTTCCGCAGTCTCTGCAACTTGTTTTCTTCATTTGTGAAATGAGGAATAACTCAACTAGTTCACAGGGTGACTGTGAGGATTAAATGGGTTAACAAGAGCGAACTGTTACACTGCATGGTGCATAGTAGACTCTCAATAAATACTCCCTGTTACTATAATATGGTAGAGCTCGGGAGTAAAAAATTTCTGGATACATAAGAAACTTAACAGTGGTTGTCTCTGGGCAAAAGTCTGAGGTAGAAGGGAAATTTATTTTTCATTAGATATTCTTTTGAAACAAAAGTTTTTTTTACGATGTTTTACTTTTTCAGTTAAGAAAAGGGGGGGTACCCCCCCAAAAGGAAGATTATCACATGTACCTGGTAGAGAACGTGCAAATTCCAACACACACTCATATAATCGTGCAATGCTATTCCAGTCATTAAGGAACATTTCAACCACTTTTCTACCACCAACAGGTTCAGACAACAGGTTTTCATATGTCAGATAAACATGCCGCGATGGCCCTACAGGATTAAAAAAGAGGATTAATAGCTATCAATACTAAAAAGAAAACCCCCAAAACACGCAAAGACAAAATGTGTGAAGCAGCTCACCTTGCTCCCTAGTAGAAGTGCCATTAAGTGGACAATTCGCAAACACTAACTCCGCCACCCACGTGCGGTTATTTCTACCTTGCAATCGGAAAGTGCAATCGAGAAGAGAGCGGTCCAGAGCCTTCTGGGTTTCCTCATTCACACCCTTACAGGGAGGAATTCTGGCAATGAAAGACAGAGCATATGAAGTGTACTTTGCATCACAGAAAGACAAGAGTACAATCTACACAACAACATTCGGGGTATCATGTTAGTGCTTCAGTTCAAGCTCCACTACTAGGTGCTTTCTGCAAAAGAAGCGATTCATAGCAATTCATGGCAATTCACAGCACTGAACCCACTTCTACTCACATCAACACAGATTAGGACCTCTTGCTTTAACGAAGTGTTTGAGTGTTTTAACGAAGTGTGTCTGTCTTCATCCTTATTCCTATCATTAGAAACACTATGATTCTTCAGAGTGAAAATCAAAGATACTGGCTTTCTATGAAATCTACCTAGAACATCCTCAAGGAAAAGCTAAGGTGTAAAACCACCCTTGAGAACAGAATGATACAGTGGAAAGAACACAGGCTTTGGATCAGGGACCTGCATTCTAATTCTGACCCAGCCACATTAACCTCTCTGAATTTCAGTTTCCCAACTACACAATGGAGATAATTACCTTATGGGTCACTGATTTTGAAACATGGCACACCATACGTAAAGTGTTCATGGCAGCTGATATAATAGGTATTCGTGTATGTTAGTTCCCTTTGTGGTAAAACCAAGTCTCACTGATGCCAAGATAAAATGCCAGGTTTGTTATCTCTCTCCCCCTCTCCAGTAGAGGTAACACTCATGTGATAAAGCTTTGCATGTATTAACTCATTTAACATACTTTCACTTAAATATGTCACATATAGGAGAGGAATGTATTAGCTTTGGTGTCGTAAAGTACCTACCTATCCATTTTCCTCTTACAGCTTTATGGACTACCTTGTCATAAAACATTATGAAGTAATATATTTTCACTGTTTTTTTCAGTAACAGATGAAATAATGAGACAATATTATTTTTTAATTACACATTATCCTTTAACTCCTAGGGATGGTGGGTTAATTCTCAGACTTGGTATAATGATTATCTACATCTAAGTCTAACAAAAATTGGAAATATGGAATCTTGATTCAGGCCTCTTATTCAGAAACACCTAGAATAGGGTTTCTCAACATCAGCAATACTGACATTTGAGGCTGGGTAATTCTTTGTTGTGTAGCCTTGGCCTCTCCCTACCAGATGCCAGTAGTATCTCCCACCCCCTCTTCTCAGTTAATGATCACCAAAAAAACCTCCAAACATTGCCCAATGTCCCCCTGGAGGGCAAAATCGCCCTGGGGTTAAGAACCACTTGCCTAGAATAAACAATTTAAGAGGGCAAAAGAGAGACAGAGATTGCAGATGATAAAAAAAATTTGTAGGGGAGAAAACAGCTACATAGGTTGCATAAAAAGAAAATCAACATAGTACTAAAATTTTGTCAATTAATTAAAAATTCCACCACAGCTCCTCTTAAATGTATAGCGTGGTTTTTTTTTTTTCCCCCAACATTTCAAAAGTTAATCTTTGGGGCACCTGGGTGGCTCAGTCAGTTAAGCATCTGCCTTCGGCTCAGGTCATGATCCCGGGGTCCTGGGATGAGCCCGGAGTAGGGCTCCCTGCTCAGCCAGGAGTCTGTTTCCCCTCTGCCCCTCCCCCTGCTCCTGTGCTCGCTCTCTATCAGATAAATAAAATCTTTTTTTTTTTTGAAAAGTTAATCTTTCATACTACATAATTTTTATCACTCACAACCAGAAAGATTTTGTCCAATATTATTTGTGGTAAATTAAAGAAATCACATACATTGCATATATGCTTGTCAATTCCGTAGATATACCGAAGACTTTTGCTTATCCTTATCCATGAAAACATAACCCCAACCCATAGGAGTTATAAAGCAGCCAATTCAGATCGATTTTTAAATCTTGGTTTAGAAAATATAAATGCATAATTATCTTCCTCTCACATAAATAGGTGTTTCGTGAAATCCATCTGGTTAGAAAATGAACCCAGAGAAGCCAGCATGTCTTCAAGTAAAGAGTAAGACTCCTTTCAATTTATGCTCTGAGGGACAGCACGACCCTAACAGTGCATTCTATGTCACCTTCTTCATCTGCGATACACAAGTAATTGGCTCAGCTTCAAGGAACCTGTAAACTATTTACTTGCTTTTAAGGTTTATAAATGTAACAGAATAAAAGACAATTATAACTTTAATGCTCTCCCATGTGAGGAGGAAAATAGATAGTTCCCCAAAAGGAAACTTTTGAAACAAAACTGTTACAAACTCAAGATAGGGCAAAATACTATTAGAGTCACCAAAAAATGAAGAACTGAGGAAGATGTTTCCTGGACAATGGCTTAACCTTATCTGAAAATTTCTAGCAGTCCAAAAGAGGTTTTTGATCTAAACAGCTATTCCTGACTGATGTTTCTCCTGTAATTCTGAGTATGGGAAGAATGGAGGAACTGGGCTCTGGTCTTCAGGGCAGATGTGTGTTAGCACCGCTCGTTTTTGGCCGCGGGCCGCCATCGTATACTCTATGTCAGTTTCATTCTGAGGGGTTTTACGACCGTCAGTAACCACATTATGGCCCTGCGGTGCACGAGGGGGGAGATCACTGAACGTGCTTTTAAGTAAAATAAGTGCAATTATGCCCACAAGGAAAGTGAAGAGGGTTTTATAAAGGTTGCACGTGCAAACGCAGAAGGACTGAGTCACACAACTGACAGAAGCTGTGTCACACACCTTGCAAAAATGAACTGTGCCTATGCATTATTTGCATAGGCTACAAGAGGCAAAGAAACACAATGGACAAGATGAATAAACCTTGTAGGTGTGGCTAGCAAACCAGCACCACTGCCCAGTAGTGTAATGTTAGTTCGGGAGAAGGTGGGAAGTTTGCTCAAGAGCTCAAATGGAGGCAACTGTGAGCATGCTGCTCTTGAGACCTGAGTAAGCGGAGTCATTTGTGTTCTCGGATGAAGGCTCTTTGGAATCTACACAGGGCAACAGGCCCATGAACCATAGCAATCTAAGGTGTTTACCATGATACTTTCACAGATACTTCAAGGAGGCCTGTTCAACGGAGTCTCAAAAAGTTAAGTTGAACAAGAACAGAACATATTTTTAACAAAGAGGAGAAAAATGTGCTCAATTTTAAAGCTTTGATGTATCAACTCATACTCCCATTAATATATCTAGGAATAAAGGCTTAAGACTTTCTAAAGATTAAATGCATTAGAGCAATTATATACTAATTAGACCTATGCTAGATTTTAACTTAGTAAAATCGTGTTTAGACATTTATTGTTTACTGTTTCATTCTTCATTTCTATACCCTATCCCCATAATCCTCATAATGGACAGCAGATACTAGACAAACTCATTATCTTTAATTTATCCATTTCTCTATATTTTTTCCTTTTAAGTTTTAAATAAAGAAAATAATAGCCAGGATATAATAAAGACTTTTTAAAAACTATTAAATGAAGCTTAAAAAATAGGAAATGCTTCCTTCTTAGGTAGGACTATATTATGGGTTCTCTCAAATTCAAGAAGGAAGGGGACTGAAATTTCTTCATAAAAATGCTGAGAACAAGATATTTTAAGACTCCTGCAAAACATGAAAAATATAACTAAGAGAACAGAACACAAATGTTAACATTATCTATTTATCTGCAGTTGCCAAGAAGAGTGAAAAGATTAAAAAAAAACCCCCCAAGCCCCTATACTTTAGGCAGAAGTAATTCAAAACCAAAAGCCATTAAAAGTATCACATTTTCCTACTGATTTCCATTATAAGGCCAGCTCTCTCTCCCGAGAACTTTTTGTAGAGATGGTGTTCAGATAGCCAGCAAGGGAAGCTATCCTAGTTCTTCAACTCTGTCTCAAGTGAGCACCTTGACACACGGGTAGAGTGCGTGCTATGGGCTAGCTCTTCCCATCTTCCACAGAAACTACCTGATTCCCAAGTAGCAAAAATTAAAGCTCCGCTGGCAGAGCTGCCATGTCTTGGTAGTCAGAGGAATTCGACAAATAAAAACTGCTTCTGTGATTTGTTTTATTAAGCAACGTCTAAGAAACAATAAAAATGCCCACCCTACCCCGCCCCCTAAAAACTGTTTTCTGCACCAGAAAGGTTGCTCTCGTAAATGGCACGCTAGTTTTGCCAAGTCCATCCTGGTTGCCTTCCATAGCACACGCACCATATTGGCTTTCCTTCTAAGCATCCTTTGGCCCCTAGTCCTCGATCCATTTAGAGCCAAGCCCTCTGCCCATCTCCCTCTGTATCTATTTAATATCCCAGCTCAATTACTATCACCTTGGTGATGACTCATTTACTTCTCCTGCCCAGCCCTGTTGCCAGAGCATGCGATCCAGCCCTGCCTGGCCAAAGGGATGCGTAGACACCTCAAACCTAGCGAAGCCCCTTCAAACTCACATCTTCGGTGTCCCTTATCTCAGAAAACACCACTATCACCCATCACGTGCCCAAGATAAAACCAACAGGCACCTGTGCCATCTTCTCCTCTTTCTTACCCTCAACATCAATCTCCTCACCAACCCTTGAGTATTCCATCCCCTAAGTCCTTGTGGGACCTTCCCAGGTCTAAGCTACCAACTCTGGTGTGAACCATTTCAGCAACCGGTTTCACCACTCAGTCTTGGTCCCCCCCTCCAATTGATTCTCAATATGGCTTTCAGGATGAGCTCTCAAAAACACCTAGCTAATGATGTCAGTTTCTGCTTCAAATCGTCTGATGGCTTCTTACTGCCATTAGGATCAAGTCTACATTCCTTAAGGACACTTACAAAGCCCTCCAGGATCTGATCCCTTCCCACTTACAGCTCAGCTCCAGCCTTGTCTCTCTCAACTCCTGCCACTCTGACCTCCTTTCAGTTCCCGGGTACAGAGCTTTCTTTCTCTTGCCCCAAGCAAGAGAAAGAGAGAGAAGAGAAAAACTGCCTCCACCTTAGCAGCTATCCCTTCTGGTCAGCACTCCCCGCCCCACCCCCGCAATCTCCCTTTCCTCTAATTCTCACCTCTCCTTCAGTCCAAATACCACTGGTACTTCCTCAGGGCTACCCTTTCTGGCTTCAGAACTAGCTCAGATCCTCCTGTTATATGAACCCACAGCATCCTGAAGGGCCCTAGCAGAATGCAACCTGATAAACAGGCACACGGAGTAAACATCCATTAAATGAATGAAAAGAAATGCAGAGGAAAGACATCCTAAGATACCAAGTGGTGCTGGATCTCCACTCAGCAGGTGAAAAGGAAGCCTCCCCCAGACCACAGTAATTCTGTGCAGAAATCTGACATCCACAGGTGCTGAACTCTGCTTTATGCTGTGTCACGGGAGAGGAGTAGCTCTAGCAGTGTGGCTCTAACGTGCGGCACCGAGGGAGACAGAGGACAGGGACTTACTTCAGTAAGCGAATTGCATGGCTGAAGCCATCACCTTCCATTTGCACTCCTTGATGGGGAATCTCCAGATTGGACAACTGGTAAGAGAAAAGCAGGAAGATCAGACCACCAACTTTACAAAGGAAACTACCTTTTATAAGTACTAGTGTCTATTCTCGTGGCACCTGTTTCAGGGCCACTCTCTTCCAAAGTAAGAACATGTTAGACATGCGCACTGAGTTCCATCATCTGATTTCCTGGGCAACTATATTAAATCCTGTGAAACCCAAAGATGACCCAGAGCTTCTAGTTTTTAAAAAAAAAAAAAAAAAAAAAACACAACACACCCCGGGTGGCAAATCTTCAGAATTCTGGAGACTAATCTACTCCAGCAGTGAGCCAAAAGTCATCCAGAATCAATCCTGGTGGTTCCAAATGATGCAAGTGTAAAATAAGACTGGTTTTCTTATGTTTTTCTTAATTATGTCTGTTCAAAACAAAGTCTGAGTCACAGTCACATCCTACTTTTAATCACAAACAATAGTTCTTAGCATATAACTTTTCTGGAATACTTTTTTTTTAAAGATCTTATTTATTTATTTGAGAGAAAGAGAGCGAGCGAGAGAGAACACACAAGCAGGGGAGAGAGGGAGAAGCAGGCTCCCCGCTGAGGGGAGCCTGACGTGGGGCTCGATCCCAGCTGAAGGCAGACACTTAACTAACTGAGCCACCCAGCCGCCCCTCTGGAATACATTTTTATTTTTAACAATTAAACTACTTCCTGTTGTGAAACCCAAGAAGATTTCCAATTTATGCATTTACCCAATGAGATAGCTTTCCCAACAGGAGGATTCAGAAAGTGAGTTAAGAAGATGAATGCGTGAGACCCCGTAAGTGGAACTCCAGGTTATGTAGGTATGCCAAAAAGTCATCTGATGATCTACCGGAGAGAAGCTTGTCTTTGGCACATATTCACAGGTCTTCTATGGCAGGCTATTTATTTACACCCACCTTGTTCCAGAAAGGATTTAAAGTAGCCCTAAGTATTTGACTGAGCCCTGTTCTTTCGGCCTGGGAAGGGCAGAGGTTTAAGAAAAATAGCTGCTAACCCTATAAATAGGCCATAGGAGTTTAGATTCAAAAGGAAGCCAAGTGTAGGAGGACTCAAAAACACCGTCTCTGTCCTATGGATCAGAGATATAAACATCCCTGGTTAAGATTAGATTGAGTTATTCACATCTCAGTATAAAGTACTTTAGGCAGAAAATGTGTTTGCTTTTGTCTTCAACAGGGCTTTTTCACTGAGCTAAGAAAAAGTAGGCTGTTTAAGAGCTTGAGGGGCTTTCAACAGAGTACTACTATACAATGTTCTTACATGTCCTATGTGTGCAACAGGTATAGGAGCCCAGGGAAGGGGGACAGAGAGGACTATGTCTACAGGTGTTAGGCTACATGGGCACTACAGAGACAAGTTTTTGCAAGTTTTGTAGGTGGTGAGGGTGGAGGGCAGGCAGGGAGAGACACATCACATTGCCCCCAGGTACCAGGTAGCCTCCCTTCCCACTACAAAGGTAGTAAATGAATGACATGCATGTCATCAATCCACAGGGCACAATAAAAAAAGCCCAAGAACACAGTCAAGTAGATAGGAAGCATGGACACTGTCTGTACAGTTTAGGAGCTATATGGCCAGTACCCAGGCAAGAAGACATTCATCAAGCTCACAGTTCTAGGAGCTAGGACATCAGTCATGAGTATCTATTTTAGATGCCTATTTCTGGGCCTCGATTTCTCTGGGCTATTCCCTTCTTCATAGTTTTACACCTCACCCTCTGGCTTCAGACCTTGAAACCCTACAAAGCAGGGGTCAGCATACAACAGCCCATGGCCCAAATGCAGCCCAATGACTGTTTTTGTAAATGAAGTGTTACTGAAACATAGCCGCACTCATCTGTTTAAACATCAACTATGGCTGATTCACACTACAAAAGCAGATCTGAGTAGCTATAATAAGAGACCATATGACCCACAATACCTAAAATACTTACTATCTGGCCCCTTACAGAAAAAGTTTGGCGACTCCTGCTCTAAAGCATGAAAGTGATCAACAAGTCTTCCCAAGACTATCACCATCAGTTTCACTGAAATAATCCACTTCCACATTCCCAGGTCTCTTCTCCTTTTTTTTTTTTTTTGTATCCTCAATTGTTTTATTCATAAACATTAAAAAAAATATTTTTTTAGTTTTATTGTGGAAAAGTCTCCATTCCCAATAATTTACAAAGGGGAGGAGTCTTACAAAAAGTAAAACTTTAAAATAGAGGGAAATAATTAAGGTTTTGGTGTATCCCTTTTAAAGGGATGCCAATCCTTGGCCGGAGTCCTTTTTGTAAATATAAAATGCAGATTCTGTTACTGCCCTTTACTCTCATGTTTGGGGATCATGCTGGATACCACAACTGTGTATTCTTGAAAGACACTAATTCTATGTAAGTCTATTCCTTAGTCCACGTGACAAGAGTAAAAATCGGGTTTAATATTCTTTCTGACCTGTTTGTCAGAAAGGAACCCGGTTTTATTGGTGTGTAAGCAATATGTATGGCTTCATCAACTCAAAAATAAGCCACCCCTTTATCAACTAACCACCTCTAAGAGATAATGTTCCTACTAAGAGGTATGCAAGTAAGACGTTAATACTCAAAAATTGTCCTTTTTTTAAATTAGGAAGAATTTACTTTCCATTTCCATAAAGGGAAGAACGCTCACAATTTGGAATCAGAAAAATGAAATAATATAAGTCATGTTTTACAAGTACACCATGAGATGCTATGATTTCAACCCCATCCCTCCCAAAATGAACAAGATCACAGCTATTCCGGTTCTCCTAATGGAATCCATGTAGCTTTAGCAAGGCATTTTAAAAATTACTTTTTTTTTTTT